TGAGACAAATTCAACTTTTAACACCCTTCTTCACACTCTGCGTGCAAGGCAAAGGTCCAAACCCATCATTGCCCCAACCAAAGAGGGGAGAGAGAAACAAACATGGCTCTAATTCCATGATAAAATTTAAGGTAGGTATGACTCCTCACCTAATAAGGCCTTATTGGGTGAGGAGTCAAATCCACCTCAAATTCTATCATGATATCAGAGCTAGGCCCAGTTGAGCTAAGTGTTTGACTAGCGAGTAAAGAGTTAGAGCCAGCAACTACCTCCATTAATAGGCATGACCCAACATATATAGGCTTGATTATAAAGGGGAGTATTGGAGTCCAACACCGACTAGACATGCTTAAGTCTACTGGTTTATAAGAGAGAGTAATTCTTCTATTCAATAAAACCTTATTGGATGAGGAGTCAGACCCACCTCAAATTCTATCACTATTGTAATCTATACACAAAGACCAACCACCAAAAGCCCAATACATACAAAAAGAATCAATAGGCATTGCACGGTTATATTATTATAATCTTATTAAGCAAACGACATATGATTCATGTAACAAAATGAGTTTACATTGTGCAAATGCAATAAAAATTTGAGTATATACTTATTGATGCTTGATTTTGACACCAACGACTCGCACTTGCAAAATGCTAAGAGAGTCTTAGAAATTACACGTGATGGATCCATGAGATTTGAATATGGTGCTGAGATTATATATGTTGCAGAAACATAAAAAAAAATATTGGCAAGAGAGGTTTTTATAGTGGTTCGGATGTTTAAAGTAAATCCTACATCCACTGTTATTTTATTATTCTCCAACTATTTCTATGATATTACCCGTAAGGCATAAAAAAATAGAGAAATACTTTGTTTACAGAGAGAAATAATGAAGCTCAAATGTTTGTCTACCTCTCATCTGCCCAGGTTCTCCTTTTTGTAAAGAGAGGTGTCAATTTATGCACCTTCGAAGTCAATGTAATGAGTGCTTTTGATAGTTATCTTGACACATGGAGAGCTCTCATTCATCCTTATCTTAAAATGAGATAGGGTTTATATAAAATATCTCTGAGGCAGTATGGGCTTGCAGCTAGTACACTTCATTTTTTAGACACTTGTTGAGCTGACATCAAGGTGATTTTTTACGCATAACAAAACCCCCCTAGTTTTTGGAGTACGTAATTGCACTTCAAAAACTTATGTCTTAGGTCTGAATGGTTGTCGTGCTATAGGCTGCAGTCTCGGACTGAAGAGCTCGAACTATGCNACGAAAAGCTTCTTCCGAGCTCTATGTCTTAGCAATGGGGAAACTTAGTTGGGGCCATTTTCGGGGCCAAAATCCACCGTTTCGGCATGTTTTGGGGCTGTTTTAAGTTTTCTACGTGTTTTTTTTTTTTTTTTTACGCTGGCATATGGTCACAATCTGATAACTGAGAACTAATTGCGATCTAAGAGCTGAGAACATGACCTGAGGTTGTTCGCAATCTCAGAGCTGAGAGTTGATCGTGATTTGAGAGCTAGGAGCTGATCGCAATCTGATAGAGGCTCGACTTAAGAGTCTGATGCACTCGATCTCAAGCAAACGAGCGAGCTTATGAGCTTAAGGAGCTCGATCAGAGAGTATAAAGAGCTTGATCTAAGATCATACGGAGCTCGATCATATAGCATAAGGAGCTTGATTTGAGATCATAAGGAGTTTGATCTAAGAGCACAAAGAGCTCGATCAAAGATCATAAAGAGCTCGATCAGATAGCATAAGGAGTTTGATCTGAGATCATAAAGAGCTCAATCTGAGATCATAAGGAGCTCGATCAGAGAGCATAAAGAGCTCAATCTGAGAGCATAAAGAGCTCAATCTAAGAGTCTGATGCATGCGATCTTAAGCAAACGAGCGAGCTTATGAGCTTAATCAGAGAGTATAAAGAGTTCGATCAGAGAGCATAAAGAGCTTGATCTAAGATCATACGGAGCTCGATCAGAGAGCATACAGAGCTTAATCTGAGAACACAGGAAGTTCGATCAGAAAGCGCGATGCTTGATCTGAGAACACAGGAAGTTCGATAAGAAAGCGCGAAGCTGGATCTAAGAACATAAGATCAGCGATCTAAGCACTCAGAAGCGTGATCTAAATTATCTGAACGCATGATCTCAACGATCTTGAATGCGCGATCTGAGAAATCGGATGCGTGCGATCTGCAATCTGACCACGCGATCCGAGAGTTGAAGATCAAAGCGATCTGAGCGTACAATCTACGATCTGACCATGCGATCAGGGAGCTCTAATGCATGCGGTCTGCAATCTGACCACTCGCTCTGAAGCTAAAGATCAGCGATCTAAGCTAAAGATCTGAGCGATCTGAGCGTGCGATCTGCGATCTAACCACGCGATCGGAGAGCTCTGATGCATGTAATCTGTGATCTGGCCACGCGATCCGAGAGCTCTGATGTGTGCGATCTATGATTTGACCATGCGATCGAAGAGCTCTGATACGTGTGATATGTGATCTGGCCACACAATCTGAGACCTCTGATGCGTGCAATCTACGATCTGACCACGTGATTTGAAGTTGAAGATTAGAGTGATCTGAGCGTGCAATCTATGATCTGACCACGCGATCAGAGAGCTCTCGGAATAGGCTTTAATATTTTGATGATAACTTGAGTTCTAAACCTCAGATTCGGATAATTCTTGGACCATCAGAAAGCCAACTCGAAGGGCTACAACACATTGCCAGATTCAAACTTCATCCTGCTCGGATCTCCACATCAGATGACGTGAAGATTTTGAGGCTTGCTGGAAAAACATGGAGAGCTAATGTTAATCATGCCCTCCCTCTAGCACCAAACTATTGATGCTTCATTTTGACACCAACGACTCCCAAGTGTAAAGTGCTAAGCTGGCTTAGAAATTACAAGTGAATGAAAAACATAGAAGTGTTTATGGTCCCGAGATTATATATGTTTGCAGAAACATAAATAATAGATTGGCAAGAGAGATTTTTAAAGTGGTTCGGATGCTTAAAGCGAATCATACATCCACTGTTATTTTGTTATTCTCTTACTATTTCCATGATATTACTTGTAAGGCGTACAAAGATGAAGAAATACTTTGTTTACAGAGAAAAATAAGCTCTCATGTGCCTAACTCTCATATGCCCAGCCTCTCATTTTTCACGAAGAGAGGTGCCCATTTATACACCTTTGAAATCAATGTAATGAGTGATTTTGCAAGTTGCCTTGACACATGGAGAGCTCTCATTCGTCTTTATCTTAAAATGAGATAGGGTTGGTATTAAATATCTTTGAGGTGGTATAGGCTTGACAGCTAGTACACTTTGTCTTTTAGGCACTTGTTGTGCTGACATCAGTGTGACTTTTTAGGCACAACAAAAATGATTTTGGGTGGTCGAATGTTGTGTTCAGCAAATAAGGAGATCAGGTTATAGAAGATATATAGGATCCATTAACACAATTTTTAAGCACTTCTGGGTTGAGATTTCATGGGTTGGTGGCAATTCTACAAGCCCAAAACGTTGAATGAATCCTAGAGGAGAACAACACCACCTAGCCCTCTCCTTTTAAGTCCTTTTTTTTTTTTTTTTAATTGGTATCCAAGGGTGTTCGGGCCAGCAGGGGCGTCCCTCAAGTAGTCTCTTGGGACCTTAAAATTAATAATCAGGTAAGCTTCCAATAGCTACCCCTTATTAATAGTTGTAAGGATTCAAACTCAGGACCTCTTAACTAGTACATCCAAGAGTCTTAAGCGAACCACCAAGCTACCTAAAGGTAGTTTCTCTCCTTTTAAGTCGCTCTAACATACATTTGTGTATCACTCCCAAGAAGCTGAGCTTACTCCCAACAAGCTAAGTGGAAAGTGAAAATGACTTTGTAATCTTTGCCGATTTAATGTCTCAGTATGAGTTGGTCATATGCCATTTTCTACGACTTTAAGAGGTTCCCTTGTCTGTTTCTTTAATTTAAGACCTGACCCAATTGAGCCCCACTTCAATTTACATTTATAAAATTTCAAGACCAAGTAATTGATTATGGTCCACAATGACTAACCAGACCACAAGGACTTGAGCTTTTAAGTGGTGGTTCGGACATGGGTCCGACCCTAAACCCTATGCCCTCCATTTGTAAGTAGACATGTAACATGTTAAGATTACCATCCAAACATGCTTTAAGAAAGCAAAATCTGCTTTGTTGTTTTTGTATGGTGTAGGGTCAATTTCTTGGCAAATCTAATTTGGGTGCACCAAATGGCTCCTTTTTATTCAATCAATATATTTGACGTTAATTATGTACCGAGATTAATTCATAAGAACTTGTTTTTAGGTTTCACGCAAACATCTTTCACCTAACGATGTTTTTATAAGATGTGATAACTTTAATATAAGATAAAAAAATAAATTAACATTCCATCTAAAAAATAAATAAATTAAATATATATAGAAGACTAAACTTCATTTTCTTTATCTTCTTCCTCTCTAATCTCTACCATATGATTGAAGAATCTCAACTTCACTACTTATCTTCCACGCCATGACTTCCCCTTCAAAAGCTCTCTCATGGGCCACAAAGATTTATTCATAATCAAGACTAACATATTATATAATAAACTCATTTTGGGTATCTTTTATGTTACTCTTATTTTCTTCTTTTTTAGATTAATTATATTAATTCATATATATTATATACTAAAAAATGAGTATAAAAATTGATTAAGAAATGCTTAGTTGTATAATTACCATTTTAATTGGATATATATATTAAGTACTAAAAAAATGAGTATAAAAATTGAACCCTTCTATAAGTAGCCCAGACGGTTATGATGAATTAGGGATAGTGTGGATAGACACACGGTCTTAGGTTTGATTCCCNTCATGTCACATCGTTCCTGGCCTTTTAAATGGTGGCCAGGGAATTTTAGCTAATTGTGCTTGACTTGATTTTTCTCTCTTTCATTGGCATTGAGATATTTCGCAAGAGAGTAAAAATGGGAAGAGCCCCGTGTTGTGCTAAAGTGGGTTTGTATAGAGGTCCATGGAGTGTCCAAGAAGATGCTTTGCTCGTTAACTATATTCGAGTTCATGGTGAAGGCCACTGGAGAAATCTGCCTAAAAATGCTGGTAATACTAATATATAATCTAAAGAAATATTACTAGTATGTATATATGTTAATTCATTCAGTTTTATTGGTCAGATTTTGATTGTTTGATTTGTTTGTGTGAAGGGCTACTTAGATGTGGGAAGAGTTGCAGGCTGAGATGGATGAACTATCTGCGACCTGATATTAAAAGAGGAAACATTTCACCAGATGAGGAGGAACTTATCATCAAGCTTCATTCTCTTCTTGGAAATCGTTGGTCTCTCATTGCTAAAAGGCTTCCAGGTCGAACCGACAATGAGATTAAAAACTACTGGAATTCTCATCTGAGCAAAAGAGTGGAAAAAGGTGAAGAAAGTAAACCAAAAACATCAAAAGCGGTGAAGAAAAGGAGCCAGTCCACAACTGAAAAGAAACTCAAGAAGAAGAACGAGGAGAAAACGACTGCAAACGAAGAGACAATTACAAAGACCAAAGTGTATCTACCCAAGGCTGTTAAGGTTTCTCCATACTTCCATGCAATCAGTAACATGGGTTTTGAGAACGTGGCAAGTGGATCATCGTCATTATCTAGCCTTGGAGAAGATAATATTATTAAAGCAGATGATCCAGAAGTTGCGTTGAATGATTCTCCAGCTCCATGCTGGCCTCCTCTTATAGAAGAAGAAGAAGAAGCTAACAACGCTCACATGAACGAAGAATGCTACAGTTTGACTGATAATAATGCATGCGATAATTCATTTCTAAACTTTCTTGATGGATTTCTTGAAGAGTATGATCAGGATGATCTGCTTCTCAATTAAGTAAACTGGATGTCAACTTGATCGATTTAAGTCCTTTTCGATCTGTTTGATTGTTAATGTCTCTAGTGATTGATGAATGTTTGTAAATTGTAAATCTATTGCGTTGAGTTTCCTGGTCAATTAGAAGTAGCCAACCAGCATATTCTAGTGGCATTAAATAATATTATCTACCAACCATTTTGTATCATGTTCATAACTAAAGAATAAATAAGTTGGTCTGTCACGTCAGTTTTGTCAGATGGCTTTCTTACTTTGCATTCCTTTCTTAGCTATTAGGGGTGGAGCTGATCTAACGTGTGTAGTTATTTCTTATATTATTTGATTATTATGTTTAATTATTCAATAATATAAAATTTTGATAATCTCATATTATCAATAGTTGTTACTGTTAACAATATTAAAGGTGATCTGATTACCTTCATTTTCTTAGGTATTATAAGATTATCAAAGTAATCTTATATTTGTTACAATTTCATCCCTTATTAATAAAAATTTTAGATAATAATTGATATATCATTTCAATTTTACCCTTGTTTAATTAAGGTTTTGGACAATAATGTCCTTATTTTTAAAACAAATTATAAACCACCATCACCACCCAGCCACCACTGTCGACAACGGGACAACCACCACGAACCACCGTCAGAAAGTCATCGGAGTCCCTAAAAATGATCGAGAGTCGTTGGGAGGCTCCGAGAGGCTTTAATATGGTCGTTTCTAGCTATATTGATAGCCGGAAACAGGGATCTTGCAGTTAATGGTCATGGACCTGGCCATTAACGGTTAGATCTCGCCCAGATCTGGCCGCTAATGGCCAAGGATCTGGCAAGAAATGGCCATAATAGATCTGGCCTCATATGGCCGTTTTCGGCCATCAATATGGCTAGAAACTACCATATCGGAGCCTTGCGATCACGATGAGCTACTCACGGCGACTTCCAATAGTGGTTTACGGTGGCAACAGGCGGTGGCAAGGGGTGGGGGTGGTGGTGATTTTTTCATAAATTAGAGTTTTATATAAGTTGGGGTGTTTTAGCTAAATCTGCAATATTGGGGGTTAAAAAAATTATTAAAAAATTAATAATAAAAATAATATTATATTAATATTTAAAAAGAGGGCAATTTAGTAATTTAAATAATATACCCACCAATTTATTCCCTCTAACCAAACATATTAATATAACATACACTCTAACCAAACATATTAATATAACATACCCTCTAACCAAACATATTAATATAACATACCCACCAACTAACCAAACACATTTTTTTAAAGATTCCTAGTAATCTTCAAGGTAGTATAAGATTCCAGTAATCTAACATTCTTAGTAATCCAACATTCCATAAACCAAACACACCCTTAATGGCGATTGTTGTCTACGTAATCTTCGAAGATCCAAGAATAAAATATAATATTGATCTAGGTGGTTGAGTGATCCCACAAGAACTGTGTATTACTCAAAAGATTCCGAGTTCCAGTCGTTCTTTGATTGTATAAAAGGGTAACTACTAAAACTGTTATTTAATCAATAATTTCAAAGCCTCGAAAAATTAGTTGAGGTGCGTATAACCTAAGCTGATACCATAATCATTAAAAAAAAAAATCTTGAAATTATAATCCTTAACATTAATTTAATGAAAATATAATTCTGTGAGGAGAGAAAAGAATCTGTTATAGTTGATATATTTATAACCATTTGACTATTTGAGCATCAGAAATTCCGGAATATCCGCATCTAAACACGGCTAATAAATGTGAACCGTTAGCTAGACATCTTTGACAAAGCTCAATGAAAGTGTGAATGTGTTCAATGGCCAGCACAGAAAACAAATGAAGGCTGCTGTCTGCTGAGACAAGAAGTAGAAATTCAATTCCATATCTAAAATAAAATTTGAGATACAAAGAATATGAACTTGTGACATTCCAAGTCTGACATTTGATCACCATTTGTTGAAATATTCGCAGTTTTTTGGGGCAAAATACAAAGATGATTTCTTACTGATACTAAACTATTTACATAAGTGATTAAAAGGAAAACAAATAGGTTAATTTGGGTTTAGAAGGGCCACAAATCACCCCAGAAAGATTTCCTAGCCAGACGATGTAATTTAGGATTCTCGCTCCGTGTCATAACAACATGCTCAAATGTGCCCTCTGAGCAATCCCTTTTGATTGATCGACAGACATCCATGGTAACCTGCCTGCCCCTTTGAACAGGACCAAAGATAATCCTTCCCCAGCCACCCCCAACATTAGCAAGGCCTGTTTTATCTTCTTTCTCTTCCACCTCTAAATCTTTGTCAACATCATCATCACCATCAGAGTCATAATAAACTGGATTTACTAACTCATGTCGCCTATCTTCGGCTTCGGCTTGTAATTTAAGTAGATCCTCTGTAAGTACCAACGATAGAATATCAAAATTAGAGCACGACAGATCTTCTGTTACTAGATGAAACCTATTAATTATTTCAGTACACTGGGTAATTAGGGCTAAGAGGAATACAGAGTGTTTGAGATGTACCATAGTCGATTTCAAGATCTTCTGGATTTCTTTTAGCATTTTGCTCCTTCAAAGTATCAAATTTCATACCATCAAGCGGCCAGGGTTCCCTGTCCCAATCATGAGATAAATAATTGAGAAAAACTTTTTTTTTTTTTTTTTTTTATGAGGTGAATGCACTTAGATCATTCAACTCCCAACAAGTTGACTTTGATTCTTCTCTGTGAACCTTAATATAATTCATGCAGACATCACCCCTAGAACTCAAATCATTGCCCCCACGATAACACCGTCATCAGGGCTCATCAGCATGGTCAATCAGGGCTCGTATGATTGTTTTAGTCAATCATCAAAAAAGAAAATATATAGACAAATCAGAAGGTGGTTCACACAATTCCATTCTGCAGCAAAGGAATCCTTTGTTTGACTAGATGACATGGCAAAAATAGCAGGTTCGATTGGTTTCGTAGAGAATCTTATTGATACTTGACTATATTAGAAATAGAAACATTTAATTGGTAAATAACCCAATTCACAAATTTAAGAACAGCACTCAAGACTACTAACCTAGGTCTTTGTCCACGTCTGAAAGCAACAAAGCAAAATTTCTCGTCTTCAAATCCACGTAAAGGCTTACCCTTCGTGTGCTACAAAACAATCACAAATAAGCCTCTATTATTTAAAACTCTAGTTGAAAATGCTGTGCCAAAAATAGCTTAAAATTTTACTTGGGTACCCCTGTCAAAGTAACATTGACACTAGTGAGGATAAGACTACGTAGCAATTAACCTTTATGATAACAAAGCAAATGGGTTAACATGATAAGAAAAGAAACCAATTCCTAGTTCACACTCAAAAAACTGCACTACAGCTACATAACAGGTAAAATAAAGATTCTTGCAGGGGGAGACCATGCAAAAAGTGGGTCAAGGAGGAACCTTAGATGCACGCTGTGATGTTGTCCTCTGTAAACGCTGAACGAAATGACAGTATTTTCCGGAATTCACCAATGGACAACGTCCATCATGAGGACACTGCAACAAGAAAATAAAATATTGGACAAGAAAACTGGGTAGAAGAAGGAATAAGGAGGTGAGGAAACTTAGTGAGTATATTAGCATGACACACAGGAGAAAACAAGAAAATATTTCCGTACTCACAGGAGCAACTATATGCACACCACTTCTGAGAGTTGCGACCTCGTTCGAATTTTTGTTGTTTACACCTTTAGACTTACGAGCTTCAGATTTCCGGCTTTTCTAGGAAATGATGAAAGAGGAATGAATTGAGAATTGGAGAAAAAAAAAAAAAAAAAGTAAAATCATAAAATGACAAACACAAGACACTCTCTGTGACAAATGTTGAATAGGCATCCTAAATGAGCTCACCCTTTTCTCCATCCATAATATATGAGACCGCATTTGAGATATGATACTAAATCCCTGTGGTGTACCCGGTTCAACTAAAACCTGTCCAGCATTTGATGATACAGAAATCAAAGGAAAACATGTTAGACTGAAAATTGCCAATATAAAAACTTTGCAAATAATAACAGATTGACGAGCAATTCTATAAATCAGGATATTATCAAAATGTAAAGATTGTGTGTTTTTTCATGCATAGCATTAAGTAGAAATATATAATCATCAGAATCCCTCCATCATGCACAATTATAAAGTGAAACATGAAACTTATTGATAAGCCAGGAACAGTACCAGAACATCCCCTGTAAGATCCCAAAGTTGGCGAACTATAGTAATTCGGTCCTTCAGCGACGGTATCTCCCCAAGCACGTAAGACTTAACCCCATTGCCAAGATAATCAATATTAATTAGCACCAGCCAAAGGCCACATACGAAGAAGCACATTACACTGGTTTGAAAAATACTTTATCAAATACAAACATGTTATAACAAAAATTCATGCAAAGCCAAAATCTAACAATTTCAGGCAAATTTACAAAGAATCCTAAAGATACAACTTACAGCAATTACAAGGTCATGTTCCCTCTCAGACTTTTTGATATCTTTACTTAGCGCTTGAATGCTATCGTAGCTATGAATAAGAGGCAAATTCTCCAGGCCTAAAACAATTACGAAATGAGTTAAAATCATAATCGATTACATTACTTGATACATAAGTTTTGGTTTAAAAGATAATGATAATAATAATCAAAATACATACAATCTAGTAATACTGGAAAGTAAACAGAACATCTACTTTTTAATCACATATGATGACAGCCAGTAATATAACTTAAATGCCTCACCATTCAACTGCTTGAAAGGATGTCGGACATGTAAGGAAACATTTAACGAGTTGGTCAGGAGTCAAAAGTCTTGAATGAATGCCAAACCTAGTTAAACTATGTAACAAGTTCATAAATATGTAAATCACAAACAAACCATTGTATAATGAGGTTCTGTAGGATTCATGAATTCAGACATTCCACAATCCTATAGTCATTTAATTGAACTATTGTACAACTGCGAC